ATTGCGAATCCAGATTATTTTTACGAGCTGATTTCACTATACACGTCCGTGCGTCCGACCCGCCGTGAATCAACTGCACGCTGTTGCTGTCACTCCTGACTCCTTGTCCTGCACTGAAGGGCGGAAGGTCAAGTTATCATCATTCACTGGGCTGTGAACAAACTGAGTGCATACGTGTACATTGCAGGGTATAGTCCACTAATTCAGGCCCCATCGAAAACAGTGTAAAATCAGCATTGTTCGGGGCCCAATAATATGCTTACCAACATTCCGAGGCATCTGAAACGCACGTTAAATGATAATCTTTTACTTCGGGTCCTTTTCAATTTTCTGTGTATGTAATCGGGTTAACCGATTACATTTTCAGTTATTTCCCTCAAAACAAAATTACCCCCCCCCCAAAAAAAGTGATTTTTCCAAAGTCTGCTTGCAGCCATTTTTTTAAGTGACAACCCTCAACTTTCTCGGGCACTTAGGACCATTTTTCAACAGTATTTTTAAGCCATTTTTAAGCTCTCAGATGAAAGCCCAAAGACCCAGGGAGTCGATCCTGGCAAAGATTTACACAATCTCACCATTTTGAGGGGCCATACAATCTCCTTTATCAAAAGATACTGTGGGTATGGAGGCAGTTTTAATGCTAATGAGCTGGCCAGAAATCCTCGCTTGAATTAGTAGACTGCACCCAGTACTTCTCTAGTAGTAGATGAATGAAGGTCATGCGTGACCTGTGCACCGGCACGTCATCATACAGGTACATTAGACCACTGGCAGCAGCCTGTTCCCTTGTGGTAAATAACTTGTCAGTTTGCGATTCATTAATCCATGGAAAGGTATAGTTATCCAGCCGTAGAGCAAGGAACACACACATTACACTGTCGAAACGTACGATAGTCTAAGTAGACAAGTACGATGAACTCTAAGCGGACTGCACAGGTTGTACGTGCGGCAACACTGATCGGGCTGATAGACCTCAACATGTAGCCACTCATGTCGGAAAATCCCGTGCATGAGATATGGAAGGATCGTGTGCAACTAGACGGATGACGTTTGCGTGCGCCATACTGATTTGCCTTGCTCATGGGCGAGCCTCCAATCCAGTCGTTCAAGCTATTCAGGGGCGTATTGTCGGTACGAGGCTCGAGTTCAGCCCCATCGATCCCAAGCTTCGCCGGAGCGTGGACGCCTACTTGGGTATACCGTACGCCGAGCCGCCCGTCGGGCTGCTACGATTTAAACCTCCGGTAGCCAAGTCACTGCGTGGGGAGCTGCAAGCTACCAAGCTGGGCAATCGATGCCCACAACCACCGTTTAATTTCGGTTTGATGACTGTAAAGGGAACGTTCAACGAGGATTGTCTATTTTTGGATGTATTTGTTCCCCACCGAGCAGTAAGATTATTTTTGATTTTTAAAACCAACCTCAGTTCATCTGAACACATTTTGTGGCCATTTCCTGTTATCGATGAGGTTCAAATAATTTACAAAGTTCCATGAAATTTAAGTCAAATGTTATTGTACATGTTTTTATCCGCCTCAAGCAGAAGCACCCCTATCTGGTTGAAAAGAGCCGCGTTGGTCAGAAGTGTTCTTTTTGTTGGCAGCGATGCGACCGTAACGCGTGCATTTCATAGTCTTTTGTGAACCAGCGAAGTTCAGTTCCGACCAAAGGAGCCTCCTTTGCTAAAAAAAATTGCGCCCTCTCTTGGTTCAGCTCAAGGCTCGTAATAAAGCAACATAGAAATCACGAAGCGTCAGACTCGTTTCAAATTTGAAATAAACATGAAAATTGGCACACTATAAGTTGTGCGAAAAAAAAATCGTATTCCACGTGGGCATGTAGCCTTGGCCCACTTGTGGCATATCGGACTTCTTACTTTTAACAGTCTTGTACTCTACGTCGAGGAGATGTTAATTTTGATTGAGGGTTTACTCAGACAAGCACTGAGTATACATGTGTTTATAAATATGTATGTCGGGTAAGGGCAAAACCCGAAATTAAATCTTTTAAACAGTGTTCTGTTGGCGGAGTTATTGTTTTATTTCACGCTCCACTAGCCTCCCAAAGCAGCTGTCCTTGTCTTTCTCCACGGAGGTGGCTTCTTCCTGGGCGCTGGCACCATCGAGCGCACGCCACCAACTCCCATTGCCGCCGTCGGGGATGTCATCGTTGTCACCCTCAACTATCGCCTTGGAGCGTTGGGATTTCTCTCAACAGGTGGGTTCAATTGCCTTCTTTCTTTGCTTATAATTTGACTTGTCTAGTTCATTCTAACTAAAAATGCTGCTTCATAAGCTTGTTTACCCATGTCACATCTCGGTGTGACCCCAAACATGTTTGCGCATGGTCAGTTTTTGTCCTAGTGCGTAGAAGTGTCATGATGATGTACTAAAGAAGAAAATAAAAAAGAATGAAATTTGGTTCTTTGGGAAGGAGTTCACAACAAAGAGACACTCTAAAGGCAAACTCTTTTGGCAATGCGATTTTTCTCAGTCATCAATTACTCCCAAGTTCAGTTGTGGATGAAAGACGCAAGGTTATTGGAAAGACCCAAAATGCTTATTTTGCGTGTATTTTAACCGTGATACAGGTAAAAATTCGATGAAATTTTGTTTGTTGCAGATGATGACATCATTCCAGGAAATATGGGACTGCTTGATCAACGCCTCGCACTGGAATGGGTCAGAGATAACATTCAGGGTAAGATGTCAGTGTGGTAAACGCAAGATCGGAAACTAGAGTTTTTAGAGTGCATATGCTGTGATTCTTTCCTGTGGTTAAGCTTTCCTTTGGATTTGATCCACGTCCGTTTTTTCACCAGCTTTTGGGGGTGATCCTGAGCGAGTTACTATCGTTGGCGAGAGTGCTGGGGCAGCCAGCGTGAGCTTCCACTTGTTGTCACCGGGCAGTGCCGGTCTCTTCCACGCTGCAATTATGGAGGTGATTTGCCTGTTTAGAAATGGCGGGTATCGTTAGAGTTCATGATGTCATTATTATTAATGATCACTTCGAATATTAAAAGCAAATATCAAATGCGGGCCTTGACAGTAAGAACAGTTCCCATATAAGTCGTATAGAACGCTCTTAAATGTTTTTTTTACAACAGTGATCAAAATATCAATTGGAGCACGTCAGCTTCACACTGTCAAAATGCATATCTTTTTCTCCGTAGTACTTTACAAAATACACATTTATTCACAGATACATCAAAGATAAGTAGTAATTCAATAATAGATTTATGAAATACAACAAATATATAAATTTAATTATGCACAAAACCGGAAACCATGTTGGCAGTTTGTTTGGTGCTTCCTTACGAAACGCGTAAGTTGTGTTTAAGTGCACTGGTAAAGTAACTCAAAAAGATCAGACTAATTAATTGTAATTGTACCACCCGTGTGCCAACACCAGCGCAGCTTCATATTCCAATCAAGGTGTCGATTCTGTGGATTTTTCTGCTTGGTTGCTTTAGAGCGGCGATGCCACGGTATCATGGGCCACAGTGCGCGCCGACGAGGCTCGTAAACGGGCGTTTGCTCTCGGAAAGATAGTGGGTTGCCATAGGGACACCTCTTGGCAGTTGTTGGAATGTCTGCAGAAGGTGACGGACTTCAACATCTTTGTCGAAAAGCAACATGAAAGGGTGCGTGATGTTAACGTTTCTGGCTGGAGTTTGTTCAATACCAGGTGTGCTTGGAGAAGTTTGACTCGGGGTCGAAGGGTTCTGTTTCTTGTATAATGGGACACGTACTTCCTCTTTGCTTTCGATTTGTTTCTTGACAAATAAGATTTTATCATTGGTTTCGAATGCCTTCAAATCTTAAGTCATACAGAGGGCGTGCTAAGTTATTATCACCTTTAGTCTTTTGTCCAACCCTCTTTTGATACATTTTGATCTGATTCTCTAAACCTTAGGAGACGCAAACATTTATGCAGTGGTTGGTGCGATATTTGGTCACTTAAAAGTCTTTATTGTCGAAAGTGTAGGGTACTCACAGGGAAGGAGCGAGGGAAACGATGAACAGTTTTTAGAAAACGTATTTCCGCCAAATTAATCATTGCATAAAAGTTATTAATTTAATTTAATTGGTGTCTCAAAATTTTAGACAGTTTACTTTCTTCTTTCTGTAATTCTCAATAATAAGTATATAGTCGATAATTGAACAATGATATTGCCGACAATAACGACAAATAAAAGTCTCTGTAGCGACGCTGTGGGTATTATAGTTCATGTATTGGGATATAAGTTGGTGTACCTCATCAGACAACTTTACGTCTAATTTGTTCAGTCTTACCAAAATAATTCAAGCAGTGAACCCCAGTTTTCCTTTCTGAACCATCTCTTGCCAATACAGCTACACCAAGAACTGAACAGGTCCGATATTTTGACCTCCTTCGTGCCGGTGGTTGACGGAAAATTCCTTCTCAGTGACCCAGATGATGTCTACGCAGAAGGCCCCATTAACGATGCAGCAATCATCATCGGAGGAAACGCCGACGAGAGAATGCTTAAGGTGGCGAGTTTCTTCCCCGACCACACCGACGAACCGCCCTTTGTCGACAGTGCCTCCTACGACGCTCTCGCTCAGGTCACCTTGAGACAGATCAGCGCCGAGCCTATCGTTGCCGAGGCCATCAAGCTGTTGTACCGCAACGCGTCGTGCGCAGCGGATGCACCCAAATGCGACTACCTGCAGACTCTCTCGCAGGTCCTGGGTGATATCACATACTCGTGCCCCATTGACAAGGCAGCACGGGCCTTTGCCAGAGCTGGCCGGAAGGTTTACCGATACTACATGACTCATGCTCCTACCACGCCCCTAGTAGGTAACAAATGGACGGGAGCAACTCACTTGGACGACCTCCTGTTTGTCTTTGGTCTGCCGTTGATCTCTTCTGAGGAGTATGCATTTACATCTGAAGAGGCCCGTATGTCGCTGTGGGTTATTAAATACTGGACCAATCTTGCCAAGACCGGGTAAGATCTCTTGCTTCTTTTCGCTTCAGTTTGAACGTTTTCACACACCATCAAACTACTGTCGCTTTATGCGCTAGGATAAAATACTTATAGCAACTCTTCCCGTTATGTACAGTATCGCTTGGTCTCTATATAAGTAGCTGAGATTTCTTGCTCAGACGGGTGTCTTTACTCCTGCCTCAGCAATCCCAACCTGTCCTCCTTGGATGCTGAGCTGACGTTTGAAGAGACGGAGACAGAGTGGTTACCGTTTACCCTCCAAGAACTTGCCTACAAAGACCTCTCACCAGCAATGCTAAATGGGCGTGGCGTCAAAGCCAAGGAGTGCCTTATACTGAACGAATTTATACCCAAACTAGCCCATATTGCAGGTGAGTCTGATGGACTTGGTAACGTTGGTAACCACTGCATTTTCAAAATGCCGCTGTGCACGCTATAATCTTGTTTTTGCGCCCATATCGGCATAGGGGCTGATCTTTTCAGTCGTGTTCTTGCTACAAGTGGCTGCTAAAGCTATAGTTGGACGTCGGTCCAAATGTAAAGAAATAATTCACAATGTGTTAAAAGTCCCACGCAGCTGTCAGAACACCGGATAATAATACACGTGCTACTAAATACTGAATGAAATTACAACCCTCTTTAAAAATAATTGGACAAATGGCCATTTTGAACGAATTTGAGGTAAAAAATCGAAAACCAACCGAATTTCTGCAAATTTTCGTTGCCCAGGATGTAGGCAAAATAAGAATAGCCTATAGGATGAGAATAAGATCAGTAATTCTGTAAGTTTGTCTTTCTTTACGTCACGGACATGTTCCGCCCGGAATTATGGCTGGCCGTCAGTACAAAATTAGAAGAACAACAGGCAAGTTTTTCAAGAATCACTGAGCTATTTTAATACTCTTTCTGCTTTTCGACTGAAGGAAAATACCTTTTGAAATACTTATGGAATTGTGAAGAAACACGTTGGTTACCAATGGTGAACATTTATAGTGAAGTTTTGGCAGTTGTCCGTTTTATGTATAACTTGTCCTTTTCTGTGGTTTAAACAATAGTCCTTGTTTTTTCCAGAGGAAGCCAAAATGTGTCGAGAGAAAATGTCAGAACATGCAGAGATGTCGACCAAAGATGGCGGGGCCGGAAGTGGGACATGCACAAAAGAAACATGTCCCGACCAGTAAATGTGTCTCCAAGGACATAGCGCTGTCATGTAGCTGTCGTAAAAGGTAATTCTTTTCCCCCAAGCTGGTGAATGTGACTGAGGGACTCAGCTATACCCGTGTAAATCTGTCCCCCCGCGCGGTAAATCTGTCCCCGCCAAAGGGAAAATGTGTTGCACCTGTAAATGTGTCCCCGTGCAAGGCCACAAGTCTGCCATCCAGACTATCTGTTTCATTTCAACTGGTTTTGTGCATAATCTGATTGGATGCCTTATTTTTCTTGAATACCCATTACGTTAAATCACAACGGTTGTGTGAGGCGGACTATTCTGGACACGATACCATAGTGACGTACCGAGTCATGCATGCTTTTGTGAAAATTCTGGTCTGAATGTGTTTTGCTTCAAGCACAAAGGGAAAAAAGCCATTCACTGGAACTACGTTCGACCTTGGCCCGCCGCTACAGCGCAATCGATCTTATAATTCAATGTACACCACGTGATTATACAACATAATACGATAGGTTGAGAATCACTACGCTTACAAAAAGTCTTCAGAATACGGATCGCTGCCTTCCTGGTTTCTTGCAAAAACATAATTCAATATGCAAATTCAAATATCTGACAGGTTTTTGTCTCCATTTAATAGCTTGATGAAGGGCAATAAAATCTAAGATTTATTTCCTGTGGAATTAATCAATTAATCAAAATATCATGAAACACTGTGTGGCAATACTAGTACTTATGAGGGGACAGAATAACCTGAACGGGCAAGGGGGAACACCTCCTGGGCTGGAATTACCAGTGGACAGATTTACTGGATACACTTATTTATCGTAAAGGCTTTCACATATTCTCCTTTAATCCTTTTGGCAGCTAAAGTGTGTAAATATCACCACTCTTTGGTATTTGGTTTCTCCTAAAAATGTATATTTGCCTCCTAACTTTTATAAAGGGCTGTCGATCTTTTGGTAATAATTTGTGATTCGTTGATTAGATAATAATCCTTGAGACTTTTAAACTCCACTTTGTTCATTATTTTTCTGCTTATGCACTGGTAGTTAGCAGTATTTACCATCCACTAGGCAAATAAGGATGTATATTATACATCCTTGACGTAGAAGACTGTATGGGCCCGGAACTGCTCTGTAAGAAGACTTTCCAATCGTAATTTTTCCTGTGTGCACGAGATTAAGCACTAAAATCCCGCTTATATAGATTAGAAGCTAATAGCAAAAACGATTTAATAGGATTTTTTGTGATCCGGGCGTTCCAGCTATTCGTCTTGTGAGCGCCCTTTCACGTATCAACAACACAACGTCTAAGACTAGGATCAGGCAGGTTACACCGTGCATGAGAACGCTCGACCATAAGGGTGCAGTGTCCCAATTCTAGGAGAATTCTCCGCCGGCCGAGGCGCGTGAAAAGTACCCTTGCAGATTTTTTTCGAAAAGAGGGGTCTGTGAGGGCCAAGAAATTGTGGGATTGTGTAAGTATGCATCCAGGATCATCTCTGTAGATTCAGGGGCACCCATCTGGGGGCAAAGCAGACAAAAATGGGATTGAAAATTTGTCAGAAGAGCCTGAGAAAGGTGAGGGGTGTCATTTTAAAATAGCTGCTGGGGAGAATTGGGAACAGTCACTTTTTTGGGGGTGAGTTTGTTTGGGCGGATAATTAAAAGATTCATTGGTTACCCTACTAAAAATTGAAAATCAAACGAAATCTAAAGGACCAACCAACACATTGTTTTTTGTTTGAGAGCCCTCAGGCACTTCAGTTGCCGGCCATGGGGCTCCAATCTTTGTTGATTTTACACCATTTTCAATGGAGCTTGAATTAGTTCAGTGCACCCACAAGGCGTTCGTCTGGTTCCCAGCGTTGCCTATTTTGTATTGCGTTACGGGCTATAAGCGTTACACCATCCTGTGCATCCAACTGCAATGCAACTGAAAAAAAAATGAGCTAACACATTTCGTTTTTCAACATGTTCAAAGGTTGGCCAAAAAACAGTCCTGTTGAACAAAGGGATTTCCTTCAAATTTCTGCAGACGAAGGACCAACCCTTTGGTAACATATCTAAGAAATAAAAATGAAATGTTAAAAGAGCGTTTTTACAAAAAAAAAAACAGATCCTTTTTGTTCATGGATTTCAGGGGTGTCACAAAAGAGGCAAGTAAACGTTAAGCACATTCATCACAGAGTGAGAATGTAATTGTGGATATGATTTTTTCTTTTTACTATTACGTCACCCCTCTTTTAAAAAATGGAAGTGGCTCACAGACAACTGTTTGCACTCGGCTCTTGGCCTCTCTCCGCCCCCCGGCTGCTCATTGTTCAATGCATGTTTTAGAGCCACGGTGGCGCTATGCCGAAGAACCAGTATGCTGTTGACATGACGTCATCCATCAGAGGTTGTCCACTACAACGCCCGATGTTTATTGTCTACTCCTGAAATATTGTTGTGATGGGGTTTACATTTTATTATTGTTCCTTCAAACTGCCAACTGTGAATTTAATTAAGTTTTAAATTTTCATTAAGATGGTCATTTCCATGTAATTTCCATTTCATCATGACGGTGAAATTTTATATTCATCAGATTTTCTGTCTTACAGTGTTGCAATTCCTACTGGACTTTGTTTATTGTGGCAATTTTTCAAAGGAAGCTTATGGTCTTTTAAGGGAAATGCGATGATGCATCGATGGGCAGTATTTCGTTTTGAGGTTTCTACGGCATGCATGTCAATGAAAAAACACAGAAGCGAAACACGAGATGAAACAAAAACCAGTACACATTTTCTGTTTTATATTAGCAAAGGCATCTAGTTTCTAGCCAGGTGCTCTGCAGTTGGTTGAGGCATATTGCCGTGGCAACCACTTGGCTCCCACTTTAAGGATATACACCAGTTGTTTGAATTCTTCAGTCGTGGTGGTCACTAAATTTAACTGTCCTTCATTATGTCAGTTTGTTGAGTTTATCAGCAAGCCATTACTTCATGTACCAGCCTTGAAAAGGCTATAGTTATAGCAATACTGAACACCAGCTGTACTGTAATACATCTGTTACAGCTTCAAGCAAAATGGTATTTGATGTATACAGTTTGTTAAAATATCTTAAAAGGGGCAATTCCATTATTAACCCTAACCCTCCTCAATCCTCCAACAGGTGAAGGATTGAGGAGGGTTAGGGTTAATGAACACAATCCTGAGATTTTACTTATTTTTCCCTCTGCAAATATACTTCGTGCAAATCAAATCGAACACTACAAAAATCAAATACTAAATAGAGCGTCATCTCTAAAATAAGGTTGATGTTGTAGCAACTTGCAGAAAATACACAATTATACCTACATACATATACATGGGCGTCATGTGGGGGAAGGGACATCCCTCCCCGAAGAAATGAAAAATAAAAAGGAAAATAAAAGACGAGACGGAAACAAAAAATAGAGATAAGAGGGTTAAATATCACCTACGTGCTTACAAAAAAACCCCTCAAAACTGACTTTGCCTACTGTTTATTGAAATTTGTTTTAGCTGATGAGTGCTTTGCCCCCGGAAATTTCCCCTTAAAAAGTGATTTTCCTCAGGATAAAATCTCGGGGACGCCCATGCCTAGATACACCTTTCATTTGCTTTTGGGATTTTCCTTTCAACTAACATTAAAACAACTACATATATTACATGCGACTACAAAGTTTAAATTATTCATGGTATAGTTTCATGCGTGCATTGTTCCTACTTTTGATTATCTTTACGCAGTGTAATTGTGTTCAGCATCATCTACAAATACTGTTTTAATGATCAAAATGTATTGGTAATTTCAAGGAGACGCTGTATTGCCAGACTGTAGAAGTGAGGTGATGTATGAAATTTGGACATCGCTCTCTGCAGTATCGAAACCACCTAATTATAAGGTGCCTGTGTCTAATTAATGACAGTGATGCTAAACCATCACAGCTGCACGCACGGCAGCTAGTTCCGGCATCCATACAGTTCGAGTTTAACGCAGGCGTCGATTTTTGTGTTAACTTCTATGTTGACGATTTGCAGGCGAATGAATCTTGCGTAAACAGCTGTGGCAGCCTCGCATCTGCCCACGGCAGCTTCTTGCGTTCTGTGGTCCGTCAAACTGCAACCAATTAAATACAAAAATCCTCACTCATACACCCGATGCGATTACCTGTCACGTTAATAAATCAGGCTTTTATAGAAAAATTCCTCTGAACAAAAGGTGGTAGTAATATTCATAAGCAAATTGGAGCCGATTCCACCTCGCGTCTTGGAAGTAGAAATGATACACGATTAGGAGACGTCATAGCGGTGAGTATCCACCTCGCTGCTGTGCAGTAGTTTTTTTCTGGTAGCATAAAAAAGTCCCTCTGGAACCCGCCGCGTAAATATGTCGTCTGTGTCGTGTAATCTTTACGGAACCAGTCTGGAGTTGTATCCTAATAACTATTACAGTAAAGACCCAAAAGGTATGTCAGCACCAGACTATTGAAGCCCTGTTTCTATGCACATCTGCACTCCACTATAATTACATGGAAATTTAGCAGCTGAGAAACAACAATGGCGTCTGTGTGTACAAGTATAAAACGTGAAATTTCTGTTTGAATATTTATGAAGTGTAGTAAACAAATAGAGCATGGTTTATTTCGGGAAAATAGACGGCACTACTTCCCCTCAAATCATGCTGTATTTGTATAATATAATTATGTGATACAGGTGCAAAGCTAATAATGTATTCCTCCTGATTCGAACCAATTATATAACTTACCCCTGGCAAGCCAGCTCGGCCGATTTCTCATTCCCCCATTTTGTGCTAACGACTCAACGTGACGTTATTTTTGTAATTCTTGTGCCTATTACAATGTTTTACCTGCACGCTTCGAACCATGGCAGCTTGCGTAAAACCCTTTTTCATTGATTCACTTTCATTGGTTCGCTTCCAACCTTCACAACATTCTCTTCTTTGCATGGACAAACTTTCATAAGGAATAAACAAACATACAGAACAACATATATGTTTAATATTGTCTGATATTTGGCGTCAACATAGGGTTCA